CCACCCAGCACCCCGCGCCGCCGGCCGGGCTCGGCGGCCGGGCGCGCGCTCGGAGGGACACGCGCCCCCCCCCCCGCCACACACCCCCACACCCCGCGGGCACGGCCCCACGCGCGACCGCGGGCGGCGCCCGGGGCTGCCTCCCCCACCGCATCCTCGGCGGGCGCTCGCTCACCTCCGTCCCACCCACCCCCGGGTGTCTCTGTTGGGTGCCACGCGTCCAATCCGCGCCGCCGAGCCACCGCGCGCAGCGCTTCCGGGAAGAGCCGGACGGGGGACCCGGGGGGCCTCGGGCCGGGGACACGGCGGAGCTGCGGGGTCGCGGGCGGCACGCGTGGGAGGAGCGGGAGGGCGGAAGCGGGCGGCGGGCGCGCAGAGGCGGTTCCAGCCCTTCCTGCAGGTGCCGGGCGGAGGGAGCAGGGCGTGGGGCTGGGCGGCCCTAGCAGCCGGCCTCCGGGCTAGGCTGACCCGTCCTCCTCCCGCTCAACCTGCGGACCCTCCCACGCCCCGCGCCGCCCGGCCGGACGCGTCTACCTGGTATATAGATACAATCTTATTTTTAAGATAACTTTTTAATGCTTTTATTTCGATCTGCAGTTTACTTTGCGTGGACGGGGGTGTGTGGCCTGCGAGTGTGTCTGCGCCCCGTGTGCCTGCGTTGCCCAAACGAAGTCACAGGTGGCTGTGGGCCACCCTGTGGATGGGAGAATTGAAGTCTGGTCCTCTGCAAGAGCAGCAAGGACTCTTAACTGCTGAGCCATCTCGCCAGCCTTATAACGTTATTATTATTTTTTTTAAGTTTCAGTTATTAATTTCATGTCTGAGTGTTTTGCCTGCATGTGTGTACACTGAATGCATGCTTGGCGCCCACGGAAGTAAGGGTCCCTCGAACTGGAGGTAGAGCTGCTGCGCGGCCGCCAGGAATCAAACCTGAGTCCTCTGTAAGAGCAACAAGTGCCCTTAGCCGCTGATCGCATCGCTCTAGCCCTATAACCTCCTTTTAGGACAGGCCTCACTGTATAACCCTGGCTGCCCTTGAACTCACAGAGACCCTCTTGCCTCGGACTCCTGCGTGCTGGGGTTAAAGGCTGTGACGCCACACAAGGCTTTGTGTACATTAATTTATTTGTGGGTGTGCTTGTGGGGAGGTCGGGGGATGACTTGCAGAAACGGATTCTCTTCCCCTCCGTGGGGCCTGCAAATGGAACTCAGTTGCTCCGGCTTGGCAACAGCAACCTTTACCTGCTGAGCCATCGTGAAGGCCCCCTTGAGAATGTTAGTTTCTCTCTCTCTCTGGTTATCTTTCATTAGGAGAGGTGTGGCGTCCATCTGAGGGCATTGGGATGCCCAGAAACGCCTCACTGCATTTCTCACAAATTTTTGATATTTTTTATGGTAAGAGATACTTTACTGCTGCAAATGGCATCTATGAGAGAAAGTGACTTCATCTTGAACTGTCAAGGTGGCTCAGTGGGAAATGGTGTATTTGGCCAGTCCTGGCAACCTGAGTGCCTTTCCCGCCACCCACATTTGGTAGGAGAAAGCCGACTCCTCCAAGTTGCTCTCTCACCGTCATGTACACACTTTCATTAATTTTGAAAAATAAAGTTATTTCTTACTGGTGCTGGAGAGGTGACCTGGTGGTTACAGCGCTGACTGCTCTTCCAGAGAACCCAGGTTCAATTCCCAGAACTGGCATTAGGATGGAAACGTTTGTAACTCCAGTTTCAGGGGATCTAGTGCCCTCTTCTGGCCTCCACAGGCACCAGGACCATGAAGATAAAACACCCATACACATAAAGTAGATGAAAACTTTTAATATTTAATATTTGACGGATTGATTGATGCAGATGTCATTTTGTAGCCCAGGCTGGCTTGAACTCTGACTCTCCCTGCCTCCATGTCTGCAGTGCCGGGAATACAAATGTATATTCTCTCCTCAGCTTTACTTATGTTTGAGACTGGGTTTTATTGTGTAGCCCTGACCGGCCTTGAACCCATATCGATTCTCCTTCCTCGGCCTCCCAAGTCCTGGGGTTTTTAACATAGCCACAATGCTTGGCCACTTGCTTTTAAGTAAGTGTATTTGTATTTAGCAGCTAATTAAAGAAATAAATGTCCAGTGGAAGAGATGTTGGTCTGAGTGGGACATTCCTGGAGACTGGAGATGAATTCAACCTTTCAATGTTCATTCTTACGACTGGAACTTTGCATAAAGCTGCAGTTCCAGGCTTCTCCAGAGGTGGCGTCTTATCACAGCCATGGTGTATTCCTGATATGCTGAGACCAAATTTCTATCACAATCCGCAGGCCCTGAGAGATGCTGTAGAGATTTATCAAGGCTCACACATGTACAGGACAATGTGACTGGCAAAGGACTGGACCCAACTCCTACATCTTTTTTTTTTTTTAATATTTCTTTATTATTTATAGAGTATTCTGCCTGAATGCCTGTGCACCAGTAGAGAGCACCAGATCTCACTATACATGGTTGTGAGCCACCATGTGGTTGCTGGGAATTGAACTCGACCTCTGGAAGAGCAGTGGGTGCTTTTAACCTCTGAGCCATCCCCCCCAGCCCCCTACATCTTTTTGTAGGCCGCTGACTTGATAGCTGGTAGTACTTCTGTAATGTGAAATACTATACAGCCAATTAAAAGAAGCAAGGTAAGCTGGGCTTGGCGCATGCCTGTAATCCCAGCACTCAGGAGGCAGAGGCAAGCGGCTCTGTGAGTTTGAGACCAGCCTGGTCTACAAAGTGAGTCCAGAACAGCCAAGGCTACACAGAGAAACCCTGTCTCTCAAAACATCATCAAAACAAACAAACAAAAAATAAACACGGAGCTGGACCTGGTGATGTAGGCCTGTCATTTCAGCTACTCTGGAGGTTGAGGGAGGAGTATGACAGGTTCAAGGAAAAAGCAAAAGAGAGAGCTAGAGAGATGGCTCAGCAGTTAAGGCATTTAACTGCACTATGGGAGGACCAGAGTTGGGACCCAGCAATCACACCAAGTGACATAAATACTGAAACTCCAGTTCCCAGCAATGCCCCACTTCTAACCACAACACACACACAATCAGAACTTTTAAAGCTTTTTTTTTTTTTATTGAAAAGCAGGCTCAGGGCATAACTCAGTACCAGCTCTCTTACCTGGGCATGCCCGAAGGCCTGAGTGTCATTCCAAGTACAAGAAAAAAAAAAAGTAAAGATAAAAGCTGTGCGTGGTGACACAGCTCATCACTACAGCACTGAGATGAAATGATAATGAGTTCCAGGCTGGCGTGGGCTACTTAGAGACCCTGTAACAAGACAAACATGAAATTAAACATAGGAGCTGGAAAGCTGGGAGTGATGGGCGCACACCTTTAATCGCTGTGCTTGGGAGGCAGAAGAAGGCAGATCTCTATGAGGCCAGCTTGGTCTACAGAGCAAGTCCCAGGCCAGCCAGGGCTACTTAGTAAGACCTTATTTTGTTCTATTAAAGGAGTAATTTCAACAAAACAACAGAGTAACGTGGGATAGCTGAGTGTGGGCACACAGGAAACAGAGAGGAGGACCAGAACATTTAAGGCCATCCCTGGCTACAGAGTCAGTTCAGCCTGGGCTACATAGTGAGACTCTATTCCAAAAGCAAAAACCAAATGGTGGGGGAAAAAAGATTTTCGATTCAGGTCTTTTCCCACAAAAATGTCTGGAAGTTCCCTCCAAGTCCCAACAGTGCTATTTAAATGTAGTGTTTAAATAGAGAACTGGGTGCTCTTTAAATTCAGTATCAGAATCTCTAAGTTCCCCACTGTCAAACCACCGAACCAGCCTAGCAAGAAAGAGACGAGGACTGTGGAGACGATTCCTGGGAACCAGCCGGACCATGCCCCTCACCCGCTTTGTGCGAACTTCTGGGAAAGGTTCGCCTTGGCGCCCCTGGCGAGCCGCCCCAGCTCATGCCCATCACCACCCGCTTTCATGATGCGTGCAGTTCCCAAAATTGCCTCAAGGGAGCGGTGTACCTCAACCAGCGGCCAGAAGCCGAACCCGGGGCAGCCCTCTGACTGATGCAATTCCCAGGGCTGCTGCAAGGCGGCGCGCGGCACTTTAAACCGCAGCCTGAGTCCTTCCCCTGCCCCCCCCCCGGCCCCCCCCCCACGTGCCCGCCCAACAGCCAGGGGTCATGATTGCGTCTAGAAACCTGCTGGAGACAGGTTTAGGAATAGGAAGTTAGCCTTTTATAGACTCAAACCAGAACTCAATTGCCTCCAGGCAACAATGCAGAATCTTCCAGGAAGGTTAGTGCGGTCTAGTCAGACCCTCTAAGAGCAGCACCCACCAGGCAGGACCCTCCTACACAGGGCCCCAGGGTAGACTTGCCAAAACAACGGGGCGAGGAAAATCAGTTCATCTACCCAACAGAGCTGGGACTACAGATCAGTGGAGGTTTTGCTTTAGCTTCAGATCCTGGGTTCCGTCCCAACACAGCTTAAGTGAGGTGTGGTAATACACACCTTGCCGGGAAACAGAATTCACAAGCGTTTCAAGAAGGTCGTCTTTGGCTTCATAGTATGTTTGAAGCCAGCCTGGGCTTCAAGAAGCGTTGTTGCAATGTGGGGGCTGGGCTCACGCTGGCTGGACTTGGAGTGAGCAGGCACAGACTCTACATGCAGAATCACCTGAGCCCTTGGACCTGTACGTGGCACAGAATTGCTCAGTGGGCAACCGAAACATCAGTGGCAAGGACCTTTCGACCATCCAGATGAATGCGGCCAAAGCTGACAAGATTACAGGCAGGCTTAATGACCAGTTTAAAACCTGTGCTATCTGTGTAGAGGCAGTCAGGGTGTGTGTGTGCGCGTTTGCAGGATTAGGGTGTCAGATATGTCTGTTTTCCGATTGGAGAAGGCTGATGAACAGTCTGAAAGAGATTTTCACCAGAGGAAATCGGGGGATATCTGTCATAAATAGTGAGAAACCGAACCAAACAAACAAAATAGAGGGTGGGATGCTGGCTCCAGTGAGATGCGTCAGAGGGTGACGTTGTTTGCTGGCAAGAATGACAGCCTGAGTCAGGTCCTTAGGATATTTGTTCCCCGACCTCCACACTCCTGCTGTGGCCCATGGGCACCTACACACATACCCACAGGGACAAAATACATAATAAAAGTGTGGGCTTCTGTTGGTGCCGTTATTTTTGGATTGTTTGGTTGGTTAGTTAGTTGGTTTTTGGACACAGGGTTTCTCTGTGTAACAGAGTCTTGGCTGTCCTGGACTCACTTTGTAGACCAGGCTGGCCTCAAACTCAGAGAGCTCCTCCTGCCTCTGCCTCCCCACTGCCGGGATTAAAGGCAAAGGCGTGCGCCACTGCTGGGCTTGTAAACAAAAGTTTTATAGGCAGGGCTTCCCTGTGTAGACCAGGCTGGCCTGAACTGACACATCTGTAAAGTAAAGACATATCCCACAACCCCCAACCCGAATAAAATACCTTTAATTCTAGCACTCGGGAGTACCAGGCCAGCCTGGTTTACATAGAAAGCTCCTGGCCAGCTGGGGTCGCATTGTGAGAACCAGTCTCAAAGCAAACAAATAACAAATAAACAATTTTAAACCAAATTTTAAAAAGATTTTTTTTTTTTTAGTTTGTGTGTATGAGTGTTTGGCTTGCATTCATTTCTGTGTACCATGCGTACGCCTGGTGCCCTTGGAGGTCAGATGAGGGCATCGGGATACCTTGGAAGTTGCCAATGGTTGTGAAGCACCGTGTGGGTGCTGGGAACGGAATGCAGGTCCCCTGCAAGAGCAACAAGCGTTCTTAACTGCTGAGCCATCGCTCCAGCCCCAATACATAAACACTTTCAAAGATAAGGATTACGGCACTCCAGGGAAAACAATAGATAAATAGATGAATGGATTTATTCCGAAAGATCATAGTGAGGACAGCTGCTTGAATTGTTTTTATTGTACTTGTATTTTGCCTGAAGAACCTGTCCGCATCCTGGAAATTTGGCAGTTCAGATCTGGCTGAGGCTCCAAAGTCAAACTTTTGGAGCTAAGCTTGCATTAATGTCTCTCTCCACAATGCTGCTCCACTCTGCAGCCACCCATCATCCTGCCCTTACGCAGCCTGCTTAGACGTCACCTGGCTCTGACCATGCTGGGAGCCTTCCCTCTACTCCCTTATCTTCCGGTTGCCCTGGTAGTCGCAGGGCACCTGTGGCGGTTTGGATCCAGGTGAGTCCCTCACTGTTTAGACTTCTCCGTGGCTTCCACTTGACTCAGAGCCAAACCAAGGGCCTTCCTCGGAATCAACAAGCCTTCCCACAGCCTGCCCTCCCATCTGCCTCTTCCTCTCCCCACCCTGCTGCTCCTCGGTTCCTGCTCCAGCCACACTGGCTCTGCTTCAGGGGCTCCCAGCTCAGGTTCCGTCACTTCCAATCTACGTTTCCATCACTTTCTTTTTCCCTTGTCGGCCGTCCGTGTCAGACTCATGAGGGACACGCATTTTTGTCTGTTCCTGGGACGGTCAATCCATTTCCCCCTCTTCTTTCCTGTCCCCGCCATAGTCCGCCGTTTCCTACAGGTGCTGCGCTTGTGTGGAGAATCAGTCTGCTCTTGCGAAGGGCGACAGCGGGCCGAGAAGCTTCAGTCCTTAGCGGCTGGCACCAGGGTCCGGTTGGCGGTTGCTGCGCTGGGACTGCCGGTGTAGCAGCTGGTGTCCACTCTGTCCGGCTGGGGAGACGAGTGTTCTGACGGGCTGGAGCTGCGATCCAGACTCGGTGGCAAGCAGCGACGCAGGCCACCGCCCGAGGAAGGCCCAGCGGCACTGGGGGATCGCTGCAAGCTGTTGGAGGAGTCCCGGTTGCAGGGTCCCCGGCCGCAGCAGAGCAGCCGCAGGAGGCCGTGGCGCAGGTCCCGGTTGGTGAAGGTGTAGATGATGGGGTTCAGCAGCGAGTTGGCCATGGCTAGCCCCAGGAAGGGATCGGCCTGCAGGAGCACGGGACACGCGCGGGCTGGACACGCGACGTCCAGCAGCAGCAAGAGAAACAGGGGCCCCCAGCAGACCACGAAGGCCAAGAGCACCACGCTGAGCGTGCGGAGCAGGGCCAGCGACCGCGGCGTGTGGCGCGACCGCGACGACGAGGTGGCGCGGCGGGAGGCGGTGCGCGCCCGGAGGCGGCGAGCGTTGGCCCGCACCTGGCAGTAGATGCGGGCGTAGAGCGCGCAGATGGCCGCCAGGATGCCCAGGAAGGCCAGCACGCAGAAGAGCACGTAGGCCTTGGCGTAGAGCGGCAGCACGGTGGAGCAGGCCTCCAGGCGCCCCAGGCAGTTCCAGCCCAGCGCCGGCAGCAGCCCGAGCAGCAGCGACGCGCCCCAGGCGGCCACCGCCATCGCCAGGGAGCGGGCTCGGCCGGCGGCGGGCGCGGGCCCGCGGCGGGCCATGGTGAGGTGGCGCTCCAGGGCGATGGCCAGGAGGCTCAGCACCGACGCGCCCAGCGCCACGAACACGCCCCCCTCGCGCGCGAACCAGAGCGCGGGCGACAGGCGCAGCGTGAGCGGCCCCGACAGCAGGATGTTGGTGGCGTAGGCCGCCCCGGCCAGCAGGTCCGACAGGGTGAGGCTCCCCAGGAGCAGAAACATGGGCGCGTGGAAGCGCGGGTGCCGGCCCAGCACCAGGAGCACCGCCAGGTTCTCCAGCACGATGAAGGCGCACACGGCCAGGCACACGGCGGCGTCGGCGCGCAGCCCGGCGCCGGGCTGGTACCGCGCCCCGCGGAGCTTGCCCGTGTAGTTGTAGTGGAGCACGATGACCTCGCTCACCGGCGCCGGCCGCAGCAGCCCGGGCTCCATGGGCCGCCCCCCGCGGAGGTGTCGCCGCTCTGTCCCGCCGGTCTGTCCACCAGGGCGCCGTGTGAAAGTCTGCGGGAGGCAAAGGCAGTCAGGGTCTAGGGGGCCTGGAGGAAAGAGCTCCGGAAGAGGGCCCCTGACCCCTGCACCTCCCTCCTTTACCCGCTAAGGGGGTCTCGGGAAAGTTTAGGAGGGAGGAGGAATGTCTGCGCAGACTCTTCGGAACACAGGGACTAGTCTGTCGTCAAGGCGGCTCGGGCCTGTAGTTCAGCTTTTAAGAAGCGGAGGAGTTCAGGAGTTCGGAGCCAGCCTCAGTCTGGAGAGATAGCTTAGTGGTTAAGAGAGTCTGCCCCTTTTCCCGAGGGCCCGGATTTAGTCCCCAGTACCCACGTGAGACAACTCAACCGCCTGCAACGTCAGCAACGTCAGCACCAGAGCCTCTTCTTGGCCTCCCTAGGCACCTGCTGACATTCGCACACAGGTACACGTGCGAACTAAAAAAAATTGGGTCACGCTGAGAGGAACAAAAGCAACCCCGGCTATACCGTGAGTTCCAGGCTAGGTCCACAGCTACGCAGCCAACAGCCAGGGCCCAGCTCCCGGCCTGTAGCTCAGTGGAAGGCCTGAAGCTCAGTGCACGTGGGTGGCCCTGAGCTCCAGCCCCAGCACTGACCTTTAAAAAGTGCCCCCCATACCCAACCTCGGGGGAACATGAGAACACACTTCTACACGAAACAGCCACACGCAGATTCGGTGACAGAGGCCGCCACAGGGGCTCAGCCCTGAGAATGGTCTCACACCCAAGAAACAGCATAGGCCACAATTTCACAACCTCCACCCACAACCAGCCTGGGGCCCTGCGCCCCATTATTGCACATGAGATGTGCATAGGCTTTTTCCTTGTTTTCAAAAGAGAAAAGCTGCTCCCTCAAAACGCCAGTGAGGATGTTGATCCCGGCCGCTTGCTCACTGGCGCAGCCTCAGAGACTCCTCAGTAGACAGGCCATTAAGTCACAATGACTCTTGTAACCTGCCACCAGCCCTTTAATCCTCTCGGCAATCCTTAGTCTCAATTCACAGATAAACGAAAACACAGTTTCCTAAGGAAATGCCTTGCAGGGAGGGCAAGACGGCTCACTGGGTAAAGGCGCTTGCAGCCGAGCCTGACGAGTTCAGTTTAATGCCGGGAACCCTGTGCAGAGAACCAGCTCGCACAGGCAGTCCTCCACGCTCGTGCTGTGGCACGCCGGCGTTCAGCCCCACCCATCCGTGCACCAACACACACACAAGTAAGTAAAGGAGATTTTACAAAACTTTATTTTGGAGACAGCCTGACTATGCAACCCTGCCGACCGGGAACTAACTAGTACCCCTGGCCTGGCCTGGAACTCCCAGGGATCCACCTGCCTCTGCCTCCCAAGTGCCGGGAGGCACCGTGTCCTGAAATGTTTTACAACAAGGAACGCCTAGAATTGCGTAGAGGCCTGGGACTTAATCTTAAAAAAATAACAAAACAAAACCCCAAACAAACAAGCAAAATACCCCAAGGCCTCAGGCACCCCAGACTAGCCTCAAATTATGTAGCTGAAAGTTACATTGAATCCTGATCCTCCTGACTTAACCTCCTGAGTTCAGAGGTTAAGGGAACATGCTCCCACCCCACTTATCCGGACATGAATTCCTAGGCTCACTGCACACTAGGCAAGCCCTCTACCAACAGAACCAAATCCCGAGGCCCTCTTCTGTCCCATTTCACACATGAACAGAGCAAGGCTCCAGAGAAATACCTTGCAGAGAGGTAGACCGGAAGGTGCCCACCTGTCACTACAAAGACAACCTCAGGAACATAGACAATGGGCCTCCCAGGAAACAGACTTCCCAGGAATCTTGCTTCAGAGAAGACACGGCCGCGGAGGTAGATTTCTCAGTACCAGGAAGGCAAAGAGACAAACAGATAGCTTCAGAGCGGCACAGGGAAGACAGGCAGCCTTGGAGGATCGGGCTGGGCCACCCCGGGAGCATCAAATGCTGGTTAAACAGCGTTTCTGCTCGGCTCACTCAGCAGAGGGTCAGGGCTTCTGTACCAACAGCCGGTGTGATCTGACCTGCCTGGGATCCAGCCTGATACCAGGAAAAGTTTGCAGGAGTCCAGCTGAGCTGGAGGATTCCTGGCGTCCCCACTCGCTCCCGGCAGGAGACTTGCGAGTTTTCAGTTTTCTCTGCCGGGGCTCTGGGATAAAGGATCTAGAAACCCCAGCCAGGGGCGCTGTGCCTTTCCAGCTCCATAATCCCTCCAAGGAACCGAGTCCCAACCTCCCCGCAAGATCCCCCAGAGCGGAACACTCACCCCTGAGCCTGGCGCGGGTCCTGCGCCCTAGGCTGCGCGCCTGGGAACACTGGACAGCTGCAGCGCGGGCGGGGCGGGGAGTGGCAGGCCTCGGGGCGGCCCCGCGACGGGGTGCCGGCGAGCGCCCGCGGCCGCCCCCTCCTCCTCCCAGCCCCGGGTTGCCAGCCTGTGCCACCCGCCGCGGCACCGGGGAGCGCCTCAGCGGCGACTGGTACCGGCAAGTCCTAGCTTCTCTCTCGGGTCCCTCCCAGGGACACCCGGGGTGGGAGGGCCCAGAACCGCCGGGAAGGGAGGGCTTTTCCAGGTGAACTACTCTCCAACTCCAATTAAGGGGTCCGGCCTGTCCTCTGCTGCCGGGATCCCCCGAGCCTGCGTTTCAAAGACGCCTTAAGGGAGCAGTCCCCGGGCGGGCGGCGCCACTTACGAGATCTTTGCAGTGGGCGCGGATGTCCTCACCGGGTGGGGACCGGTCTCCTCTTCTCAGAAGCACAGGTCCCCAATTTTTCCATCACTCACCCGGGCAAGAGGGGGAGGGGCGGATACAAGCGGGATGGCTGAAGGGAACTTCCAGGTCCCCAAATAAGTCCCGTCCCGTCCCGAGGCCTCTCTGTCCCCGCCCCATTTCTTTCAACCTTTAAGGTCTCAGCCAGGGGATATAGCACTCATCGTGTTTCTGGGGACAGGGATTTGAGGCTGTGTTAGGCACAAATGTGGCCAATGAGCACTTCTGAATGAGTAAGGCAGTAAATGAATGTCTACCTGCTCTCTCTCTCCCTTGTTGGTGGTGGTGGTGGTGGGTTTTTTGTTTGTTTGTTTGGAAACAGCGGTTCTCTGTGTAGCCCTGGCTGTCCTGGAACTCGTTCTGTAGGCCAGGATGGCCTTGAACTCAGAGAGAGGCCTGCCTCTGCCTCCTGAGTGCTGGGATTAAAGGCGTGCACTACCTCACCCATCTTTAAATTTTCTTAAAATTATGCTTATCTGGGGCTGGAGAGATGGCTCAGGGGTTAAAAGCACTGACGGCTCTTCAAGATGGACCTGGGTTCGATTCCAGCACTCACATGGCAGCTCACAACTGTCTGTCATTCCAAGATCTGACACCCTCACACAGATTTAAAAAATTACGCATTTGTGTGTGCATGTTGGGGGGAGGGGGTGTACCGTGTCATGTGTGTGTAGCTAAGAGGATAACTTGTTTAGGTTGGTTTTCTTCCCCCTTGTGGGTCCCCGGGATTGAACAACTCAGGTCCTTAGGCTCAGCAGAAATTGTGCTTTATGCTCCGAGCCATATCTCTGGCTCCTCTCAGAGCCTCAGCCTCTTGGTATCTATTTCTCTCTGTCTCTGTGTGTGCGCGTCTCTTTTCCTCGTTGTCCGAAATCGCTCTCCCACGCCTCTCCCAAGCCACTCCTCCGGCGGGCCAGTCTCAACTGGGCCTACTCCCACCCCCTTTAATTCCCAAAAGATCCCTGCCAGAGCCCAGCTCTTTCAACCTCAGGCCTGTGGCCACAGTCTGGTTTCCAGCGTCTGTTGGAGTGACCTTCCTGGGGACCATGCCCTCTGCCCAGGGTCACTCCGACCCAGCTGGCCAGCTGTGGGGGGCGGAAGGAGAGGTGAGCACATAGGAGAAGTCCTAAGGAGCCTGGGATAGGAGTGAGTCTAGAGTTGTTCCCAGTGGGAGGAATCACGAGATGGTTCCGGCTATGTCCCGCCCCGCCGCAGGCAAAACCCCTGGGACAGCTTCCTAGTACGGCCCCCCTAATGTAGACCCTGGGGAGCCCCTGGGCTCCAGACTCCTTAAGGCCTCAGGGGAAAACCCGCTCCTACACGTTTTAACCAATCAAAACCACGCGCCCCGGCAGCACAGCCAATGGGGTGCATGGGATAAGGCCTCAGGTGCCTGGTTCCTCACAACTCCAAAGACCAGGCATTTTGGGGGGTGGATGCCCGGGAAAGGAACCCCTGGGCCTCGCCTGGTAACCAGTAGGCACTTGACAAATGGCCTTCTTTATCAGAGGGGAAGCAGTGTGGGTGGTGGCTGTTTCACACCTCCTAGGCGACAATATCACCTCCTGTGAGCCCTGCTAGGCACTCTGGGACTCTTCCGGGCCTCCAGTGGCCAGAGGTCCCAGGCCCAGGGCCCTCCACTCCTGCAGACACCTAGACTAGGACTCTGGGGTCTCAGGCTGCAGCTCCCTGGACAGATGTCAGGGGATATGCTGACCAGCCACACTTCCGTCCCTAATTTTCAGTTCACACCTGACGCCAACGCTTGCTCCCAATGGCCTGGTCTCTCCCCTCTCCGAAGCCAGCCATGGTTCCCCATGTCTCAGGCTAAGTAGTCCCGCTTCTTGACATCTGTACACCCTAAGCCTCTCAATTCCAGCCCTACTGGCCTTATTCTTCAGAGACCTCTAAAATCTTTGCGCCTGGGCCAGTGAGGTGGCTCAGCGGGCGAAAGCTGAGCTCAGCCAGCTCCCCAAGCTCGGTGACCTGAGCTAAGCCAGCTCCTGAGAGCTGCCCTCTGACCTCCACAGGAGCACACGGCGCGCGCGCACGCGCGCGCACACACACATACACGATGCACACACAAACACACGATGCACACACACACGATGCACATACACACACGCACACACACACACACGATGCACACACACAGGCACACGCACACACACACGATGCACACACGCACACACACGCACATACACACGATGCACACACACACACGCACACACACGCACACACACGATGCACACACACACGCACACACACACATGATGCACACACACAGGCACACAGCCATGCTCCAGAACACACGCACAAGGGCACATACCCATGAACACTCGAGTGCGCGAGCACACAATGAATGCCAACACACAGAACAATAAAAACAGAAACAAAACTTTAGATCTTAAGAATCAGCCTGGCCAGGCACAGTGGCTCACACCTGTCATCCCAGCACTCAAGGAGGCAGAGGCAGGGGCTCTCTGAGTTCGAGGCCAGCCTGGTCTACAAAGCGAGTCCAGGACAGCCAAGACTACACAGAGAAACCCTGTCTTGAATAACAAAACAAAACAAAACAAAACAAAACAAAAAAAAAAACAAAAACAAAAACAAAAAAAACCCTGCTTCCCAGCTGCCCACCTCCACACACTGGCCTTTTCTAATTGAACTGAGATGAAGAATGGCAAAGCATTTGGAAGCTGGAGCCAGAGTCAATCATATTGAGGGTTCGCTGCTGGGACACTGACTGCGCATACAGCAGGAGTTCCGTCATTTGGAGCGTGGGCACTGTTTGTCACCCCTGGATCCCGACAGAGGAATTAGAGAGGGTGACCACTACACCCCAGGCATTCACAACACCACACCCAGTTCTCACTCCCACCCAGAGATATAGCAAGAATCCAGCCCTGGCCCCCGCGCTCCTGCTCCGGCCTGCCCCCAGGCTTGTCTAGGCTGCTCACCTGCCCAGCCTGTTCTACAGACAATCCTCAGGCACTGAGGCGGCCACACCCTCGCTGTGCCCACTCTCCGGAAGGCAGGGCTGGATGGAGACCCGCTCCCCCTCAGACCATCTCCACCCTGTATCAGAGCCAGAGGAATGGAGGGGCTGCTGGCTCCTGCTCCCCCAAGGCAGAAAAGGGTGACTTCCGCAGAGCTGAACAGGTCAGGGTTTGGGGTCTCCTCAGCTTGACAGCAGTGGTTTATCGTTATATTTTATTTTAATTTTATGGTATGTTTGTCCGGGGATGGAGCACACACCTGTGCGCCGTGGGTGTCTGTGGTGGGAGGGCAGCTCTGGAGCGGGTTGCCTTTTTCCATGTGGGTTCTGGGGGTTAAACTCAGGTCTTGAGGTTCCTTTACCCACTGAACCACCTTGCTGGTCTATGAGCTTTGTGCCTCCAGCTCCCTGGTTCATTAGGTGCTGAGAATGGAATGGAATCCAGAGCTTTGGGTGCCGGATAACGCTTTACCATCTGAGTCCCAGCACGGCCCACCAATAGCGTGCTGCTCACTAGGGACCCCCGTGGTCTTGTTAACCCCAGAAGTGGGGGTGAGAAAGTAGCACGGTGCTGGGGACACACCTTCTGGAGAAGCTGAGTGAGACTGGGGCAAGGCTTGACTTCTCACCTCTCCCTGTTCCCCCTTGGGCTTGGAGAATTCTGCAGAGGAAAATCTAACCTCACCTACCCACAATGGCTCTCCTGTATAGCTTGAGTGTGTTTCGAAATAGAAGCCAATAACTTAGGAGGGGGAGGAGATGAGGCCCTGATTGTTTCCTCCAAGTGACCCCTGTGAACCCCTTCCCTTCCAAGTACTACATTTGGAGGCTTGGAGTGAGCTCTCTCCTGTCTTCTGTCACATTCAGTTCTTCAGGCTAGTGAGGGAGGAGAGGCCAGTACCTTCACACAGACACTGGATTTGATCTGGCCTGGTGTGAGATTGGCTTAGGGCAAGGATGGAGCAGGGAGGGAGCGAAGGTGGAGGTAATACAAGAATCAGGTTGGTGGCACAGCCTGTAATCCCAGCGCTTGGGGAGGCAGAGGCAGGTGGATAGCTGTGAGTTTGTAGGCCAGCCTGGTCTACAAAGGGAGTCCAGGACAGCCAAGGCCATACAGAGAAACCCTGTCTCACAAAACAGAGAGAGAGAGAGGGAGAGAGAAAGAGGTTGCTACATCAACCTCTGACCTCAGATTTCTACCTGTGAAACAGAGACTTGAGACTGGCTTATCTTGTTAGTACCTTATCCATGTCATGGAGAAGGAGGTAGAGGCCGGGAGGTAGTGCGTTCAAGGCCAGCTTGGGTTATATACCAAGACCTTGTTAGCAGAATAGAACTCCCATGCCTCTTTAGCCTTTTTGCTGAGATGAGGAGTTAAAATTGAAATTTCAGGGCTGCGGCTGTGGCGCAGCAAGTAGCACTTGCCAGGCATGCAGGAACCCTGGCTTCCATGCCCAGCACCATGTAACCCTGGCATGGTGGAGCACACCTGTAACCCCAGCACTTCTAAGGTAGAGGCAGGAGAATCAGGACTTCAAGGCCCTCTTCAACCGCGAAGGTAGTTTG